ACAGACACACAAGAGAAACAAAAGTACTATGCAAATTATTTAAAAGTTCACACTTCACACAAGTGGCCTAAGTTTTGCACACACACACACACACACACACACACACACACACACACACACACATACACACACATACACACACACACAGACACACAAGATCATCAGTCTATCTCTTTGATCATATTTCCAATCTCTGCGTCCGAGACACTTTGTTTCTTGCTGCGGCCCATAGCTTCTGACAACTGTATGGCCAGCACATGCTTGCACTGTAATATAAAACACATTCAATTCAAATTTTGACACTATGACAAAGTGTGCTAGTGGTGGGAGAAAAACTGATCCTGGAACCGATTGCTGCAATTACTATTACTGCCATAGAAGAAAAGTAACAGTTACTTTTTTTTACTTTTTAAATTTATGCAAACTGTTCAGTGGTTATGCTATTTTAGCTTAAAACTATATTTTTAATAAGTTTACGTGTCAATGTGTTTGAAAGCGAGGATGTTTTGATGGCCATAGCTAGGTTTTGAATTGATGATAGGACTTACAGAGTAGTCTTCTGACATACATAGCCTACAAATAAATGTAAGTCAATCTGAGGAAATCAGGAGTATTTTGTCTATGGGCCATTTTGAGTTTTTGTGCTTTTCTGAAAGCCGGGATCTTCCTGGTTGTTTTGCACTTTAAATTTTTCAATTATCTTTTCTAGAAGATATTGCATTTTGAAATGACAAAATGTGGAAAAGTAAGAACTGTGAAAAACGCGTTCAAAGTTACACCTTTAAGTAAAGCTTTTTAATACCTGAATGCAAATGGAAAATAAATTGAGAAAAGATATTTTAAAGTGGTTTACAAGAAGCAGCTTTTGAATTATTTTCTAAAATGGTTGGCGAATCCCCTGGTATGTATGATCAAAATTGAACAGAACTGACCACACCGACTATTTTGCCGGTATCTCTGTTCAAGATTTAGTGACATATTTCTGGCTTCCTCAGACTGGCTTATTGGCGCTCATATGACCTTATGCAGCTGCGAGCGCCGTAAAACCTCTACTAAAACAAAACAAAAAATAAAGACTGGCTTCCATATGATAAAAAACAGGAAAGTATGCGTAATGATGTAATGTCAACACACGGATTGATAATGATTTTGGTTGAGTCCTAATCAACTAATCCATAATGTTGTGTCAGCCACAGATAGTTTCAAATTTTCTCAAAGTTCTGTCACAGGTTGAGGTTCATAATATTTGCACCTTTGCACCGCCATGCACCAACTGACTGAGTTGTACACACCTAAATAAAATATTGTAAATTCACCCCGCTGTACTCCAAGTGAACTGGCCGCCAAAGATACACACTACACAAAGCTCACAACACTCACTCATCTGGCTTTTGGATAATCTCACTTTCATATAACCTCATCTCACAGACAAAATATCTGGTGTCACCAGAGTGATATCAGTATCAGCCCGTTAGCTTCAAGGCTAGCAGGCTCTTGTGAAGGCTTTATTTTATGAGGACTTGTGTTTCAAGTCTACGGTACAGGTCTGAGGTGGCCTGAAGACTGACGGTCTTGGGGTAAATAAAAAACTGTTTGTCAACAGTTTTGTATTACCTGACCATACAGAGAAGAGATAAGAATATAGAATAATGATTTTTTTTTTTTTTTTTTTTTTTTTTAATAGGCACCAAAACCCCCTCTAATCAATACTAGCATGAGTCAGTGGTATGTTGTGAAGCTAAGAGCTTTAAAATGCAAAACTGACATCTCAAAAACATACTAACAGTCACTGACAGAAAACTTACCATAAGGTGATCCTCTTTCCGAAGCACTGTAAAAGAAATGACAATGATAATTAAATACCTTTGACCACTAAGTTTAAAAGTCATTTACACTAAGGAAAGAATCATTAAACAGATGAACAATTTTGGGCAGAATATTCTGCCAGGTTACAATTCATACCAATAAATCTCCCCCAACCCCCCAAAAAGCTTTGCTAATCTAAGTAGAGAGAAGTGCATTCACTCAATAACTGTCATTTAAAGCTTGGAAAAAAACCAAAGCAAATACACAGAAACTCCAGAAAGAAAAATCAGAAGTAGGAGCTACCAATGGCACACTCCCTTCCTTTTTTAGATAGCACCACTCCTTAAGTTGGCAGAACAAGAACAAGGAAGACGGTTAGTCGTCTGAGAACACAGTCAAACCTCGTTAAACTGCCCTCCCCATTATATCAACAGCCCCGCCCCCTTCACCGCCAGGTTTTGCCAATGTGGAAAAAGGAACACTTAAACAATCATAGTAGTTGTACCATAACACCACCATCCACTGACTGTCTTATTAAATAAGACAGTCTTAGTAAACTAAAGCAAACTTGCTCCTCTATAGCGTCAGCAAATATGTTGTCAGAGATATTTATACAATACATGTGACGCACTACACATACTCTTTGGATGCTCGATAATCTCCTACCCCCACAAATCTCTGTAAGTTTAACTTATTTCTAGCCTTTGTCACTGATGTTCCCTTGATTTGCACCGATTTTGAAAATGCCAAAAATTTTAACCTTTGGTCAATATTCAAGTGAAAATTGGAGAGAAATGTTAAAGCCGCCTTGAGAAACTTCAAAGGATCTGCACCATCTCGGCCTGTCAGCAAAATATCTGGCATTGTTAGATCTCAGCCCAATGATCAAAAGGTGTGCGGATGCTTGTGAGGCTTTTATACTGTGAGGACGATTACTCTCAAGTCTTATGTGAAAGGTCTGAGGCGACCTGAGGACTGACCAGCATCTACAGGATGCTTGACACATTAAAGCTAACTTCTGATTAGGCATAAATTTTCAGTTTGAACTATGTATTGTTCAGCTGGAGCTGTACATGTAACTGGTTGCTACTCGTTTTTTCCCTTGCGCAGGGCAATTTCGCAAGACAGATGTGGCCACAGTTTGTCTGTAGTCTCTACCAGTGCCACCACTAGTCAAGATGGCAACCAGTTCCATGCTGTAATACCACCAGCCCCACTGTACCGCCAACTTCATGCTTATCCCAAGGTAGGCAGTGTCATGAGGTTTGACTGCATATGTCTGAGCTAAGTCAGACAAGGGGTTGTGGCACATGACATAAATCTTTAAAATGTAAAAGAGAACCAAATACAAGAAAAATAAAAGAAACAAAGAATCACATCTATAACCAAAAAGCAGGGAAAAAAAAAGAAGAGAGGTAAAGAAGAGCAAATCTCCCCCTCCCCCCCCCCATTTTGAACTACTTGACCCAGGATGCAACAAACGAAGTCATCATGAGGTCCCATTATGTGTCCTGAGAGCAGGAAACCGGAGGGTGGGGAGGGTTGGGGTGGGGATGTTGGTTATATTTCACTTTTATCTAAAGAAAGACATGTACTATTGAGACATATATATGTATAATACTACCAACATGATAAAAGTTTACCTGAAAAGTTATACGCAGGACAAGAACAATATCTGAGGTTGGGGAAGCAGGTATAGGGAGTGCCTGATGTGCCAATAACCTGGGAAAAATGGACAGACTAAATTCTTACTCAGTACAAGAAAGGTTGTTGTCTTTTGAATCAATTCATTTATTAGCACACATTTAATCATATAATCATACAGCAAAAAGAATGTTTTGTTAAGAGCTTTCAGTACCAATGTAAGCCTAAGCTTCATTAGCATGGATGCATTCTAATTCTTTGAAGAAATATGCATTTAGTATAAAATACAAATAAAATGTGGACCACCCGCGCCAAAAGCCAGACATTTTCATTTCTGAGTGTGTGTATGTGTGGTGTGCATCTGTGTGCACATGTAGGAACACAAGAACTAGCATCTACTTTCTAGATCTGGTATCAGCAACATATACAAAACTGACAGACAAAACAAGTTCGGACCTCGAACTTTTGTTGTTGTTGTTGTGACTACTTTATTGCACATGCCCACATCAAGGAGAAAGTTGCTAGTTTCAAATACACAGATACTAAAAGTCGGAACAGTACACAAAGCAAGTTTACTTTACAGCACGGGACGTGAGACATGACGATTTATAGCAAGGATATAATATGCGAAAGTGATGAGTAAGTATTCCAGATATGTCAGCAATAAATTCTATTCCCAGGTATTTAATAGTGAAAGAGATGATGCTTGTTGCACAGGTCTCTGTCACCAAATAAGTAAATATATCTGCCTATTTCTCTTATCTGAAGTCAGTCTACAGTTTATTGAAGAAGTGAGAAGAGAGCACAAAAATAAAGCTGATATATGTAGAATACATAAAATGGCAAACTGACATGGACCATGGACAGACTCCATCGGAAATAGTAATGCTCTTAAAATTTTGTTTCCTCTTTACCTAGGGTATTACAAGTGTGATATCAAACATTTCTCAATCATTTCTTGTTACCTGAAACAAAGCCCTTCCACTTGGTGACTCAATATGAGTCACTGATGATTTTTCTACCAATTCCAAAGCAGAAGATAATGGTCCTTGGAATACAAAATGTAATCTGGAAAAAAAAAAAAAAAAAAAAAAAAAGATTTTGAAATCTGAGCTTTACAAAGCTAACACAGAAATTGTGTACATTTGAGTCTTTACTGAAAAAATGAAAAAGTAACATTCTCATGAATACATTCAAACAAATTCTTTTTTTTTTTTTTTAAAGGAAAAATTCTCAGCCTGAGATAAAGAAATTTCCACTTTTAAGTTTTAAAGCCATGGAGTTTTGAAAATCTAGGACTTTTGGTTAGCAAAGATCACAACTTTTAATCAAATCAACTTTTTTTTCCAGAAGGAGAAAGTCTCAGTATGGTAAAGGTCATAAACTAGTTCAACCTCAATCAAATTAAACTCACGAACTCAGAAGCTCATCAGACACTGAGGAATAAAAAAAGAACATTTTTAGGAGTTAGCAAAAATGCTTTCCAATCAGTATGATCAAAACAATCTACAATAAATTAAGAAGTATAAAAAGCGTAACTAAAAATTTTATAGACGAACAAACTTAAGAGAGGCCTAACTCTTGGTGCATGCATCAAAATAATATTGCAAGATGAATTAATTCAAGACTTTTTTACTTGGGGCTAACTTAGCGTAGAATCCACAAACAGTGAACTTGCTCAGACTTTTATTTTCGTTGAACTCAAAGGTTACTACAAATATTGAGAACAAACATTTTTTTTTTTTTTTTTAATAACTGGAAAACACAAAAGTTGCTCTTTATTGTTGCCAATTTCAAAGCCTGGATAGGGGCTCCAGGACACAGTTGGCAACCCTTCTCTGCCCAGGTTAGTCTGTAGTCTGTACTCTTGTTACAGGTCTGATTTCCATGAGGAAACCTCTGAATATTAAACACTTGCTAAGTCAGAGGGTCATTAGATGACTATTATATCAGCGGACAGGGTCAATTACCATGCCCTCACTAAACTCTAGTTTTTATTGCACTTTTTCATATTTCCATGCTAAAGAAAATTCAAAGACCATTCAAAATAGGTTAGGCCCTATGTAGGCCTGACTAGTCCCCCCATCCCATTCCCTGACATGGACCCATTCTACAGTACACAATGGTCTTGCAAAGATACAATCTATCCTCAGGCATTCTCAGCATATGTAATCACTCACCTTTCCTGTGAGGTAAAGAACAATGTAAGAACACCCACAGATGAGAAAATACTTTATTCAACCAGAGCATTTTTTCTCCAAAGTCAATCTCTACAGATTTATTTGCTTTCAATTCAAGTAATAAAAAACAACAACAACAACTGTACTGTATGTATGTCCAATTGATATTATTATATTAGAACAACAAAAATAAAGGTGCCAGTTTAGTTGAGGGTTTACGGCAATGTTTTTGGTTTAATTGAAAGTCTACCATTGGACCAGTTGGACAACTGATTAGTTGAAAGTAAAGGTCTACAAGTTCCACTTGATACAGGCTTGGGACTCTCACTAGCCATAGACAAATGTTTAAGTAGTCTGGGCGGGGGAGTTAGTGAGTGTGGGTGGGTGGGAAGAGAGATTCAGGGGGGCCAGCCTCCCCCCCCCTCCCCCCTGCATTCCTTGAAAACAGTCCTGTTTGGGCACTTGCTGCTCAACTTACATGTCAACCATAATCTTTACCATCGAAGAATTATTTGATCTAAACGAAGCAATCCACCCACCCACACACCATAATTGTGTAACATCACTGCCTTGGGTCTAAATGCTTCCCAGTGCTACTGTTACAGTGGCCAATCAGGAGGACTTATGCTGGATTGCATTAGACCCCATGGTAGATCAGGCAGGACATATGATAGACCATCGTTGCGTGGTAGACCTTCAACTATACAGGCACCAAAATAAATCTGACAGCAAACTCAGTATTCCTCCACCATCTTATTCCTGATTGGACCAACTCACATTTTTGTTGTTCCGAGTATGACCTCTGAACTTCCGACATGAGTTGCTTACACAGATCAGTCAAGGGAGCTCCGGCTGAGAGAACAAATAAAAAGACCATGAAATAATATTGATGGTTCACAGAGTACCTAGTACCTAAAGGCGCGTCCGAAAGAAAGAATGGAGACGGCAGCTGAGAAAAGACAGAGAGAGCCCCACCTTCCAGCCTTTAGAATTCAGCCCCAAACATCCCCTGCCCCCACTGCGACAGACAGTTCAGTGCGAAGATCGGCCTGATCAGCCATCTACGCACACACCCCACCCCTCCAGTGATGTGAAGTCAAGGTCATCTTCGCCAGCGAAGGACGAACATCACCTAAAGGCTGGAATGACTGGGTCACATGTCCCCTACCTAGTCCTCCCCCTCGGTTGTTATTTGTATATAATGTGCTTGTTGAAAGTTGCATGTGCGTGGCACTGTGAGCAAAGTGACAGAAGGAGGACTCTGTTGGGATGTTCACTGCAGAGTAGGCCTACATGTAGTGAGTTGTGTATGCGCACTCTCTATGAAGTAAGACTACTATATCCTGTAAAATTTGATATCTTATTCAATTGTTTCTTTGGTAACCAGCTAATCAAAGTACAGCTGGGAAAACATGTTGGGGATTAGTTTTAGTACATGTAAGAGATTTACAGCACTTGCAACACAATAAGGTCATGTAAGAGCCGAGGAATAGATTACGTGTTACAGGAGAGTAACATACACAAAAAAGAAGGAGGGGAGATAAGGACGACAGATGTTTGATAGAAAGAAGGAGCAAACCACACCAGAGCACCCACCAACAAACCACGTGTCTGGGATAGACAAATATGCATCTGATGAATAAATCAATAATTTTGGTAAGCCAATAAAATGAAAAATTAGAGAATCTTCTGGAAAATCAAGGGAAGTGACTGGCAGTACAATGGTTGGAAAATTAAGTTATTATCGTAATACAGTAATGGATTTACTGTACATAGCAGATTCATCATGGTTTCTATTGTGGGACAATAAACTTATTTTGAACTCTTCTCCTATGATTAAAAGTAGGCCTACTCAGTATCAATAAAAGGATAGAAGGATGGATAGTGAATGTGCCTTGTTGTAAGAGTCAAAGCAAGAGAAAGGAAGAGGGTGTTGCTGAAGAGCATTTCATTTCAACATTTTTTGGGGGGTAAGTGTTTTACGGCGCTCGCAACTGCATAAGGTTACCCCGCAATTGTTATTACCAGTTTTGGCCTCAAGAGTAGGGGGTTTCAGGGGGGATGCCCCCCTGACCTAATAAAAATGTGGAGGGGGGTTTCAGGGGGCAGCCCCCCCTGAATTTTACCATTAAAAAATTTGATGTTTTGCAGTTGTTAGGTCTGATTTCTTAGCTTGCCGAGAATCAAACGTATAGATCTCGATGTAGATCTAGGCTCAAATAAGGGGGGTGGGAACTCAATGATAATCAATGACTCAAATATCTTTTTTTTTCCTTTTTTTTTTTCCTTGAGCCTTTAGAGAGAGAGAGAGACACAGAGAGAGAGAGAGAGAGAGAGAGAGAGAGAGAGAGAGAGAGAGAAAGAGAGAGAGAGACAGAGAGAGAGATGAGTGCATGCTCTAACCCTAAAACTGAAACAACTATGATATTATACTAGTGTATAGTTGTTTTAACATTTAAATTTTAAAGCCTTTGCCGAAAGGTGGGATACCCGGGTGTGACAAACGAGGTCCAAAATCAACGTAGGCTCAACCCTGTGCCACGAGAATATAATTTATTATTTCTTATTACAGTGGAATCCTGTTATAACGAGAGGGAGGGGACCGGAGCAAAATTTCCGTTATAGCAGGATTCTCGCTATAAGGGATCCAGTAATAAATTCAAGGGAAACTGTAAAGTAGGCCCAATCTATGAGTTTGGCGTTCTGTTTTCCTTTTGCTATCTCCCCTGATGATGATTTTGTTTCAACATGACCTCTAGGTCTTACTTGATCAAAAATCGAATCAGGTTTCTTTCTCTAGCGCTAGATCTAGCAATGGACTGACAGCTCGGCGTTGGCGATCAGAAAGAAAGGGCTCTGGGCCAACTCGCCCACTGTGTTTTCCCCTATCCCACCACACCCTGTGGTGCATTCTGTCTGCTTGCGCATGTCACACATTTGCTCCATCCATCACATTGCTGTGACCTCTCCATCCATGCATCAGAGAAGTGAGAGGCATGGTAGGCCTTGATAATAATCTAAACTAGGCTTACGCTGGCCTATCACGCGATGCGTTTTGCTTGTCTGCGCATGCCACACCCTCCCCACTCATTCGCTCCGGCCTTCATTGTTGACACACGTGGGCTCTCCCATTCTTTGTTTCGCAAGATCTCCAACAAGTTTCTCAACTGGCGAGGTTTTGTATTATGTATAATTGGCCTCTACTCTATTCTCTCACGGCGCACCGGCAGTGGAATTTTAGTTGCCGCGGGGGGTTCCCTGCCGGGCGCCTTATCACGTCGGGGTCACGGGGGTCAGCTCCCTGTCGCCGCTCTGTCTGGGCCGACTTAATTTTTGGTACTTTTCAACGTACAATTTAAGGTGCATCCTTGTATTTATGGTAATTCTCATTTAGTGCACCCAAAGCACGAATTTCTGCTCTTGAGACTCAAAAAAGAACGAACGTTGTAAATTGTCTGGTTATTTCGTTAGACACGATGGAGTCGGCAATGCTAAATTGTAATTTTTTTGGGACTAGCGTGAATGAAAAAAAATCAATATAAAAAAAACGCATCGTCAAAATCTGTCGAACTTTTGGAATATGAACGACATAACATTAGTGCAGATACTCAGAAAAGATGGTTTCTGCGCTTATAATGGAAGGCTGTACTTTTGCAATTTTATCCATCAGGCACACAATTCGCTACGAAGTAATTCCTCCAAATACAACTTTATGTGTCTAATATAATCATGAATATTCGCATATTTTCTCGAAAGTTTATAAAAGTTATCATGAAGTTTCTCAATGAAAAGTACAAATCGATTTTAGTGCTAGAATATATCTTCAACGTAGATCTAATACACGAACAGTATCTGTTACACTCCAGAAATTGCTTACTTTTCTTAAAACGCTAAGTCTAGGTTTTGTAAGTTGACTGAATAATAGGGATGACTTCTCGTAATTGGGTTATAAGAATAATTTCTAGCTTTCCAGGGACACTGAATCAGCACCAGACTTTTCCAGCTTTTTTTACGTTTCTATGACCATTTGCAATAACTGACAATGTGACTGATTTCTTTACATCATAATTGTGTCCGCGCATATTTCCTACACAAAAACTAAGAATGAATGTTTTAGCTGTCATTATTTTTATTCCATACTAGAAGTTTATCTCTACCTATGTATTTACACGGTTTTGTGGTTTTTTAAATCGCTTATATTATATATTTTTAGTTGTATGCAGGCTGCCACAGACACAGCATGATTCATGAACAAACGCAGAGTAACTTTCTCTTGTTTAATAGTAAAATAAGAGCTAACGCTGATCGTCTTTAGTTAAAATATACAGATGTGCATCTTTCTTCTCTTATAACTTGACTATTACTACTACCGCAGATTTAAGATTTCTCATGGTAAAAGACATGATATTCGTAGTCAGTTTAACACAGAATTTGGAGAGATCTGTCGTGCCTTTTTTAAAATAACAATCATTTATTCATAACTTTGTAACTAAAATAGGACAAATTGGGTACTCTACAAACACTTGTCTAGAACAAAAACTAAGGCACAGAAACTAACCATTCTAACGCAGAATAAATCTCAAGACATTGAGCTTTTAGTACATTCGCGTAATGGTTTGCTGTGTGGGATGGGGAAGAAGTTATATCGTTTTAAACATAGTCAAAAATGCGAACTTCCCGACCGACACCGGCAAAGTCGCCTCAGGGCTCATAAACCCCGTGACCCCGAGCCGGGGAGCTCCGGCGGGCTACTGAGTCACGCGAACTAAAAGTAACAGAATCGGGCGAAAAGTGACGCCGTGCTCTATGCGCTGTGCACAGCAGCAGCAATATTCCGCTAATAATAGCCTATAACCGACTCGCATGTTTGTCTGATAGCGCTATAGCAGTATTTTATTTACAAAGGTAAAGAAGGAAAAAAAACGGGGTTTCAGAATAGTGTCTTTACAACAGACTTCTCGTTTTTTTCCGGACTCGTTATAAAAGTGGACTCCACTGATTACACCTTTCATTACTTTCAATCTTCGCACACCCAGTGTGAATAATCAAAGGGTTCATGAGTAAAATAATATACCAATTATGTACCATTGGTGGCGTCTGAATTTATCATCCTCTCCATTAATGTCTGGTCCTGGTACCAGTAAGTTAAACTGTCTCTATAAGTATAAAAGTAGATCTAGAATGGTTTGTTTACTGTTTACTATTTTTGTAAACAACCGCGGCTCTGCCAGTATGGATAGTATTAGAAATGGGAAGTCACTCTAGCCAAAATGCTGAAGTGTTTTTACTCCAGATTTTTGAAAAAAAAAATCCGCTATTATAGAGTGACATTCAACGAGGTTAGTTTTTTTTAGACAAAAACAATGGGTCTTGAATAAACGCTTGTATTACATTGCAAAAACTAAACTTTTTTTGCATGAAATCCAAAATCAAGAAAATTCAGAACAAACAAAATTTCAATAGATGTGTTCGATGTGTTTCCATAAGTGACAGAGAAAGTCTGCCATTCTTTCAGTATTAATAACAATCTGGGAGCACCATATTTTTCGGGTTCAAGGGGCAAAAGGTTACAGTACAACGAAACAGGTCAGTGGGTGAGGTCCGTCAGGTCAGCTGTTGGCTGAAGATATCTGTTCTTGCTCTGACCTCTTATCATCACCGTCTTGCAAGTTGGACGGAGGGAGACCGAGGCCAACAAAATTTATTTTTGCCTTTTGCTTTCACTGTTATAGTTTATTACTGCAGTCTGTTAGTGCAGTGTGTGTGCTTGAGTCAAGTTATGGCAGGTCAAATTGAAAGCTTGGAGAAAATCCTCGAGGAACACATTCCTCCTGAGAAACTGAAAGATGTAAAGCGCCTGCTTTTTGGGAAAGAGCTGAGGTAGGTATAGAATGATAAAATAAAAAGTATTTTTAAAATGTATCTAGATCTAGGTGTTTTTACGCCCCTCTGACACCTTTTAGATCATTTAGAAGGCTGGCTTCTGACCCTGCCTGTCAGGTCCAACCTGGGTCGAGAGTGAGAGGGAGTACAAAACTGAACATATCCCAGCAGGAAAGACTGATGAATATCAATAAAAATTCCCTCAACTCGGGAATTGAACTTCAAGAGTCTCCTGCTTGTGAAAGTGAAGCGCTACTGCTACACTACAGATGCAAGTAAATTTGATAAAAAAGGAACCAATGAATGTTTAGTCAGAATGATTACAGCAATGGCCACGCAACCCAGATCAATAAGAATAAGATATGAGCAACCTCTGCCGAACAACAACAAGGTACGTAAACTTGTGAACAGAATGTTTGTACATGAATAAACTTGCAGCCCCTTAAAGCAACCTTTTCCACTCTCAGAAACTTTTGTTGCCACAAAATGTGTAAGCTTATCATTTTTTTAACCTTAAGGAAACATTTTAAAATCTATGAAAATGACATAATTTCAGTGTGTGTCATCCCCTCTCTCTTGTTTAATAATCTCCTCACAACACCTGCTCGAGCCAAATATACACTACTGAGTACAGGAGCTGTGGCGATAGTAGTGAAGGGCTCTCGGGTTTGAGCCCCCCATCCCCACTCTATCTCAAAGTAAATGAAAGTTTCTTAAATAACCAGTGGCGGTGGGTGGACCCAAATTTGGGTGGGGCTTAGGTTGCTTCCAGTTCTTTTCCACCAAATAGCAAGCAATAAGAATTAAACAGTGATCATTTTTCTATACTCACGGTGAGCCAAGGCAGTTTGAGAACCATTCAAATGAGAAACGTTGCCTTTGTTTTCCATCTCTTTGTTCTTAGTTAAATTCTTGTTGAAGGTGGGGATGAAGCCGATTCACCTCCAAATTTCCCCTTTTAGTTTTCGTGTGATGAAAAAGTTGTTAAATCACAGCGGCACAAACACCAACATGCACACACTGCATTTCGAACATAAAACTTCTATGAACTGGATTAGGCCGTGTAGTCGAGAAAGTTGAACGCGCCCAACAAAGAACCAATGAGCGTATAGGTATCTGTGTCAGTGGGGAAAAGTGTGTCGTAAACTTTCACCTCATTGTCAGGGCTAGGAGAGCGTGAGCCCTCGGTACAGTGTTATTTTTTTCCAGTCTTCTACCTTTTTACAAGAAGAATTTCATTAAGGACGGGCTGTGGGAAAAGGGCTCATCTTTGCTGAGCCCTAAAGACATTTGATTGGCTGCTGGGTTACTATAGTTGTAAGCGGTGACAACAGTGATTGGATAAGCGAGCAAGCCGCCAAGTTGATCACTCTGTGTTCATTGCATGAGGTCATAACGGATTCAACTGCTTATTTCATTATATGGAGAAACTTTCGTTTCCTTTGGGATAGAGTTGGGGGTGGTGTGTGGGGAGGGGGTAGGGGCTCAAGCCCGTGAGCCCTTCACTACCCACCGCCACTTTAAATAACGAAAAAAGCAGTTGAAACCGTTATTGTTATGATCGCACGCAATGAACACAGAGTGATTATATATATTAACTTGGCGGCTTGCTCATTTATCCAATCAATCACTATATTGCCACTGCTTACAACTATAGTAACCGAACTGCCAATCAAATGTATTTTGTGGGTGGTTGGTGGGTGCTCTGGTGTGGTTTGCTCCTTCTTTCCTATCAAACATCTATCGTCCTTATCTCTCCTCCTTTTTTGTGTATGTTACTCAACTCTCATATGTAACACATCTATTCTTTGGCACTTACTTATGTGACCTTATTGTGTTGCAAGTGCCGTAAAACTCGAATGTATTTTGGGCTCAGCAAAGGATGACCTCATTCCCATGGCCAATCCCTAATGAAACGTTGTTCTTGTGATATAAGGTAAAAGACTTGAAACAAGAACACTGTACTGAAGGCTCACTCTCTCCTAGCCCTAACAATGGGGTGGATGACACACTTTCCCCCAGTGACACAGTTACCTATGCGCCCATTGGACCTTTGTTAGGTGCTTTCTTCTTTCTTCCACTACATGGCCTAATCCATCTCATAGACGGAACATGGTTGAAGTGCTGTGGTGTATGTTTGTGTTTTTGCTGCTGAGATTTGACAGTTATAGATCATGTCGGACCTCTTTTAAGGCAACTTTTTCTTCAGATGAAAATCAATTAGAGGAAATTTGGAGGTGAAACAGAGCTACGTCCCCACCATCCAGAAGAATTTAACTTAGAACAGGGAGATGGAAGACAAAGGTGACTACGTCCCCACCATCCAGAAGAATTTAACTTAGAACAGGGAGATGGAAGACAAAGGTGACTCTTCTGGTTTGAATGATTCTCAAAATGCTGTGGCTCACCGTGAAAAATGTCATCACTGTTTAGTTCCTTTTGCTTACAATTTGGTGGTGGAGAAGTGGAAACAACCTAAGCCGCACCCAAATTTTGGTCCACCCTCTGCCACTGTACAGGAACTTAAGTTCACACCCTCTCACCAAGAGCCATCTTTGTGGGTAGTTGGCGGGTGCTCTGGTGTGGTTTGTTCAGTCTTTCCTATCAAACATCTATCGTTCTGATCTCCCCCCCTTCTTTTTTGTGTTTGTTACACTCTTGTAACACCTCTAATCTTCGGCATTTATATGACCTTATTGTGTTGCAAGTGCCGTAAAACACTTACTAAAAAAAAAAAAAGCCACTAGGGTCTGTCTGCTGTGGCGGGTAAAAGTTTTGGCCAGTGTGCGTAACATTATTTTTGCAGGTAGATAAGAAACTCGCCACAGGGTTCTGAATTAATCTTCTTCACTGCACAGAGCTGTGCCAAAATGCGACTATCAGCCTTTTATTTTGTTTGGTAGTACTATAGACCCCTGTCTATCTTTTTGATAAACCAAAACAAAATTGCGCTGGTAGTCACAAAAGAAACATGATGCATGACAAGTTTTACTGTTATTTTATGATGAATAGTCTAGTTAAACAGTTTTTTTCCATTTTTCTCAAAAGTAGAAGAAATGAGATGCGTGATTTTGCTAGCCAGTGACAAAATGCACTTTATGTTGGGCAAGGTGAGGTACATACCAGGAGAGTTTGGGTATTGCATTATAATGATCTATGAAAATTATGTGGGAACTCGGGTACTCAGCTGCTCTTTTTATTAACTTTGTTTTACCAATTATTATTTTTTTTCAGAGCTCTTAATATTCCCAAGGCTGCTGAGCAGTTGGCTTTGGAAAAAGATTTTGAAGTTCAAGGTTATGGCTTTGATGCTGCTGAAGAAAGTTCTAGGTCGCCAAATATTGTACGAATTGGTGGCATCCAAAACAAGATTGTGCTGCCAACAACTGCCCCCATTTTGGAGCAGGTTTGTATTCGATGATCAGTCAGAGATAATTATATAAATGTGTGTTTCTGTTTGTTTTAACAATGCTAATAAATGGTAACGGTTTCCTGCTTGTGATATTTAATGTTTCATCTTGACCCTTTGATTTTTTACTTAGTTGTGAAAAAAAAAACACAATAAAAACTAGCTTACTGTTAATAGATCTAGTCATTTTTTCTCCATGTTTTAATTCCATATTAAAGCCTAGAACTTCTTGTATTCCTTTGCCATCCCCTGCCTTCTCCCTTTCCTCCAGGTACAGTTTGTTCATAGAATGCAGTCATTCTGTGCCACTCACAATGTTTTTCTTTGCGTTTAGCACACAAAAAAAAAGAAAATAAAAAAAGCCAGGAACAAGCGCTATCCAAATCTTTTATCGATATAAAGTTTCACTTGCCCTAAACAGCTATTACTGTGTGTGAAGCGCTGTAAAACCCATCTACCATGCCATACCGAAGTCCCAATGCTAAGTGCTTTGCTTTGTCTTGGCAAATAGCATCAATAGCAATCTTACTTGAAAATGCTCTTTGGGCAGTGAAGCAAACTTGGCTGTTCACTAATATTAATAAGACGTCACAACCCTTAAAAAGCCTTTGCTGAACTTTGCCAACAGTAGCCAGTCTAAAAATAATCATGGTCGCAGACTGTTCGTGATAACCTATATAATTCCTTGCTTGCTATATCTTTTGCTCGTCGTGCTCACAGTGAAATTTGATTGCTTTGACCCTTTTTTTTAAATTGTTGGTATTTTTATACCCCTAAAGACACAATTTAGATCATTTTGGAGGCAGACTTTTGACCTTACCTGTCAGGGCCAACCCGTGCTGAGAAGAATATAAGTCTCAGCAGAAAAACCAGAGATACTCAATAAAAATTTCTCCCCACCCAGGAGTCAAACTCTTGGTCTCCTGCATGCAACAATGAAGCGCAAAACTGTTACTCTGCAGATGCTTGTATAGAGCCTTTGAATGATGGGTAATGCTGAAAGAGTAATTACTTGAGAGTGCAATGCCAATGCATGGGTGAAGTGATGTTTTTTCTTAAAAATAGATTCAGTTCTCAATAACAAAATGATAAAAACAGAGTGTTAGAGTTAGGTCTTCACCAAATGAAAGATATCAGAATCATACAGCATCTCATTTACAGTGCCCTTGACTATCCTTAATTATGTTTGCCCACTTTTTAGCTCCACGAACCGCTGCTACCATCATCCTCACCTTTTTTTTCTCTAGTGACCTGACATACAGACTTCTAACTTAATTAGTTATGGGTTTTAAAGCAATTGTGGGAAATTTTTGTATGCGTTTCCGTCCACAGAGGGATGCCTTGTTCAAGCGTATCTCTGACATCATCAGTGGTGCGGCTTTGTGTGGGGTCAACGTCCTGTGTCTTCAGGAAGCCTGGAGTAAGATTTTTACTTACGCTCCTGCCTTGTACTCCGATAAAATTGGAACTCTCCAATAAAAGTGGAGCTTTCCAATTTTTTCCTTTCCGGTCCAAGAACCCCAATCACATTTTGCTGAAAATGTTTTTGTTTTTTTCTTGAGATCTGTTTCTGCCTGTTTCTGTCTCTATTATGACTTATAATATATGAAGTAAAAAATGCATATTTTTATGTATTTATTTGTGCAACTTATGGAATAATGTGAAATTACTTGTTGTTATCTGTATCTATTTAGGTGCTATTCATATTTATTTTTCCATTTTCAGTTTGTTATGTAATCTTGACATACTGGGGTTCTAGAAACTGATTTATTCCCCCAAAAAACTTCAAATTTTTTGGAGGAATTTGAGAAAAACTTCAAATTTAAGTAATTGAGTGGTTGGTAGGTCTGCTTTTATTATTACTTTTGACAGTGGTTAAAGGGATGTGTGCCACGGCGTAGTGTAATCAGGCGGTCATCAATTTTTGGGTATAACGAGTTATTGGTAAAATCACGAAGCCTTCCATTTAATGAAAAAGATACAAGTCTATCTTGAATAGAAGCCAAGGTATTTGTGGTTGAGGGAGGTGGGGATCCCGTGATGTCAGAGATAAAAAATGAAGTGTGAAAATGGCTGCCAAAATTAGACAACTTCCAAAGCTGTAGAGTTCTTGGAAACTGCAAATTTATGTTTTATATGCCTTTGATCAATGTTTTTCGGAAAAATTGAAGCAGGAATGTGTTTTAAAGCGAACATAAAACATGTTGAGCACAAAGCGAAAAACATATTTTAAAATTACCAAATGGGTTGGAGAATGTTGATTTTTTTCAATTTCATTTTATTGATGAGCACCTGATTTCACAATAATGCCTCACAAATGTTCAAAATGTTTTATTCAAAAACGGTGAATTTACATTTTCTTTCGCTGCATTTGAAGTGGCATATTGAAACTGTTTACAAAATGATTTGTTATGCCTCTGTCGTATTTATAATAGATCATCCAGTTTTTTAACAATTTATGTGTAACGAGACCTTTGCTCCACTTGTAAGTCCTGCTTCTTTTGTTGTTTCTGTCTATTTGACTGTCTCACTCCGTCCCTGCACATGGCGTCGGTAGCCTAGTGGTTAGGCTACCGGACTCGTAATCGTGAGACTGCGGGTTCGGGGGTTCGAGCCTCAGCTCGGTCCGACGTTGTGTCCTTGGGAAAGGCACTTTACACGAACTTCCCACTTGGATCGGTCCTATCGGAGATGGACGTTAAACTAGGAGGTCCCGCCCCTTAAATAACCTAATAGTGTTGATAGGGGCATTAAACCCATACCATTTTATCTTTCCCTGCACTAAATGGCTGTTATAGTGTATATTGTCTTTTTGTAACTAATTCTTCCCAGCCATGCCGTTTGCCTTCTGCACCCGCGAGAAACAGCCATGGTGTGAGTTTGCTGAGTCGGCAGAAGATGGAGCCAGTACAAAATTCCTTCAGGAGGTAAACGTGAACGGAAAACTGTTCGTTGTTGTTGTTGTGGCTGGGTTTTTTTCCCCAACTTTTTTTTCCTCCTCCTTCATATACTTCTCCTCTATCTCGTCCTCCTTTGTATCCATCCTCCTCTGTCTCCTCCTTCTCCTTCACCTTTTCCGAATTCTTGCTTTCTTTCTCCTCCTCCTCC